ATACTGAGTAGTGAGTGCTGATTATGGAGCAGGGCGTAGGGAGCAGTGAGTAGTGAGTAGTGGGTAGTGAGTAGTCGGTGGTGAGTAATGAGTGGTGAGTAATGGGTAGTGGGTGGTGCGTAGTGAGTAGTGAGTAGCCAGAAGAGAGTAGTGAGTAGTGAGTGGTGAGTAGTGAGTAGTGAGTATTGAGTAGTGAGTAGTGAGCAGAGCGTAGAAACTAGTGAGTACTGAGTAGTGAGTAGTGAGTAGGAACAGTGAGTAGAGAGTAGCGAGTAGGGAGTAGGGAGTAGAGAGTAGTGAGAAGCGAGTGGTGGGTAGTGAGTAGTGAGTAGTGAGTAGGGAGTCGGCAGTACTGATTAATGAGTAGTGAGTAGCGAGTATGGAGTAGCGAGTTGTGAGTAGTAAGTAGTGAATAGTGAGTAAGGAGTAGCGAGTAGTTTGTAATGATATGTGCGAACTTGGTTGCGAGTAGTGGGTAGAAAGCAGTGAGTAGTGAGCAGTGAGTGGTGGGCAGTGAGTAGTGAGTTGTGAGCAGTGCAATAGTGACCAGCATGTGGGGTATAGTGAGTAGTGATAAGTGAGTAGTGAAGAGTGAGTGGTGAGTGGGGAGTCTTGAGTAACGAGTAGGGAGTAGTGAGTATTGAGTAGCGTAGCGATTAGTGAGTACCGAGTATTGAGTAGTGAGTAGTGAGTCGTGTGTAGTAAGTACGGAGAAAGGAGTAGGGAGTAGGGAGTAGTTAGTAGTGGGTAGTGGGTAGTGGGTGGTGGGTAGTGAGTATCGAGTAGCGAGTGCCGAGTAGGGAGTAACGAGTCATGAGCAGTGATTTGTGAGTACTGTGTAGGGAGTAGCGAGTAGAGAGTTCTGAGTAGTGCGGTTAGAGTAAAGGGTAGTGAGTAGTGAGTAGGGCGAAGTGAGTAGTGAGTAGTGGATCGTGTTTAGTGCGTAGTATGTAGTGAGTAGTGCGCAATGAGTAGTGAGCAGCGATTGTGGATAGTGAGTAGGGAGTAAGGAGTAGTGAGTAGGAAACGGCTAATGGTGAGTAATGGGTAGTGAGTAGTGAATAGTGAGTATCGGGTACTGTTTGGGGCTAGGTTTCGGGGTTGGGTTTAGGGTCTGGGGTTCGGGTGAGGATTAGGGTTAGGGGTGGTAGGGGGGCGGGGACGGGTTCTGGATTCAGGGGGGCGGCGTGGCGAAAGGAGGGGAAGGGGGTGGGTTCGAATTTCGAGCCCAAGGGGGGGGGGTCGGACCTTCCCCTTTTGAAGGGGGAGGGTCGCCGACGACGGACTGGGAAAGGGGCGGGGGGGTCTTCCCCGACGACGGACCGGGAGGGGGGGGGGTCCCCGACGACGGATCGGGGAAAGCAAGGGGGGGATGGGGGGGTCCCCCCCCCCTTGGGGACATCCAGCGGCGCGCCCTCCTCCTGTGGGCCTTCTGGGGGCCTCTTGGGGGCCTCTTGGGGGCCTCTCGGGGGCCTCGTAGGGGGCCTCTTAGGGGGTCTCTCGGGGGCCCCTCGGGGACCACGGTTCGGGGCTCAAGAGGCGGAGGTCAGTGCACACGGGGGTCCGTCAGAGCGCCGGCTCTTGCAGCATCCTGCGGGGGTAGGGGCGCACTGACCCAGGCTTGCGTGCAGGATCCTGCAAAGCTCGACTGGCCCAGGTTTGCATCGACCTGGGTCCCAGTAGGCGCCCGAATGTTGGAGGGATGGTCTCGAAATATCGCTTCGGGTTCCCCTTCCTGCGCCGTCTTGGGAGCCTCTTGGGTCCTTTTGGGAGCCTCGGGGTCCTTCTTGGAACGACATTGAGGGCGTCTTGAGCCGTCTGGAACGCTTCTCGGACCGAGAAGGCGCGCCCGCGAAAGCCATGCAAGACAAACTCAGGCTGTCCAGGGGTTTGGGCTCCTTGGGCTGGCACCCAGGGCATCCAAGCTGGTCCAAGAGGCCCAGCTGAACTCGTCTAGGGGCAAGTCGGCCAGGAAAAATTCAGCCAGGCGCCGGCCAGCTGAACACGGCCAAGCTGCGCTCGGCCAAGTTGCGATCGGCCCGGGCCGAGTGCAGCCTGTCCGAGTTCAGCCTGGCCGAGTTTCGCCTTACCATCGTAAGGAAGTCATGCTGAAGGCGTGGATTTTAAGCCATGTTCCCGAGGCCTCTGGAACACACCGCACAGGGATCCCCGAAGACGTCCAGCAGAGCCTGGGAGCACGGGGGCTGGGGCCGCGGACAGAAGACGAGCAGTACCCAACGCAGAGCATTCGAGGGGACCTGAGGACATGCCACCGAGGGCACTCTACTGAGTCCACTCAGCGTGTTGGAAGAATCCAGCGCGAACTTCTACGGCTCCAGGTTCCCCGAGGCTTTCTCGTGTCTCTGGAAGTTCTCGGGCCCCGTGGAGTGTTACATACGTCGGCCGCGCCTCCCCGCCTGCACCGAGGTGGAGCTTCCACCGCCCTGCCGCGCAACTCTGCCCCCGAGCCTCCTCGCGAGGCCGGGCGGCCGCGCGCCGGGGCGATCGCCCCGAGCCCGCCGCCACATGGCATTCCCCGGGCGGCGGCCGCCGGGCCCCGGCGACGCCCAGGCCTTGCCGCACCTCGTGGGCCGGCCAGCACAGCGCGCGGCCGGCCGCGAGCACGACGGCCCGCCGGCCGCGCGCGGCGGCCCGCCGGCGGGCGCCGCCGCGGCCCCGCCGCCGCCGCCGCGCGCACCGGGCGCCCCGCCGCCGCCGCCGGCGGGCGCCGTCGCGGCCCCGCCGCGGCCGCCGGCGGAGGCGGCGGGCAGCACCGCGGCGCAGCCCGCGCGCCGGCCGGCGCGGCAGGAGGCCGGGCCGGCCGCCCCGCCGCGCCCGGGGCGGCGGTGCCCGGAGGAGGAAGAGGCACCCCTATACCTTTCCCCTCCCCTCGTGCTCCCCTTCCTTGGGCCTCCTGGGAGGCCCTCGTCGCCACCGCCGGATATTGGCCTCGGCACTCTGGTCATGACAGCACCCCAGAGCAGGTCCGGGGAGTCGCGGTATATGCCGGTGCCTTTCGGTGTCTCCCCAGGTGCCCCGGGCCCGCCGCGGGCGCGGCCGTGCCGGGCGCCCTCGCCGCGGCCGTGCTGGGGGCGCAGCTGGCGCTGTTCCTGGTGGCCGCGGGCCGCCCCTGCCCCGGGCGCACGGGCGCGGAGCCGCCGGGCAAGCGCGTGCCCAGGGTGGAGGACGGCGGCGGGCGCCGCGTGGATCATCGTGAGGCGTGGGCCACGTTTTGGCCGCTGACCGTGCTGGCGCCGTGGGCCTGGCTCGGCTTCGCGGCCTGGTGCGTGGCGCGGCGCGGGCGCTTCCGAGGCGGCGCGCCGCTGCACGCGTGGACGCGGCGCTACGGGTGCGTGGGCGCCGTCGGCGGGGCCTCGGCGCTCGCCTATCCGCTGGGCCGCTGCTTCCGCCACGTCCTCTTTCTGCTGACCGTGCTCGGCTACTTTGCCGGCCAGGGCGTCCAGCTTCACCTGACGGTCCTGCGGTTGCGCGCTCTGGAGCAGCGCGGGCTGGCGCGGGGCGCGAGCGGGGCCGTGGCTGTGTTCTCGGCGTGCGGCGCCGCGTGGGCCCTGGTCGTCAACTTCCTGCCGGGGCGCCAGGTGCTTCAGGCAGGCCTGGAGGCGGCGATGGGCGCCGCCTACGTCGCCTTCAACTGCTGCGCCGTGCAGGGCCTGCTGGCCGGCGCCGCGCGCGTGGCCCGCTCCAGGAGCCCGCTGGCCCGGGGCGCGGCCCGCCTGGTGCGCCTGGCCGCCGGGGCGGCCTCGGCCTCCGCGCTCTCGTTCGTCGCCGTCGCGGCGGCCCAGCTGGTCGTGGGGCAGGAGACCCTCGAGTTCAACGCCGCCGTGGCCGCGGACGTCGTGCTCAACTGCGTCGCCGTGGTGCTCCTGTCGGGCCTGGAGGGGCCGGACGAGCTCCGCCATGCCGCGGAGGAGGCCTTCCAGCTCATCAACCAGTACCGCGACGACCAGCTGCAGAGCTTCTATCTAGAGTACTTGGACTACCTGGATGCGGCGCAGGTGAAGTGGGTCAAGTGCGGGTACCTCCGGCGATTAGCCGAGGCCGGGGCGACCATGCCGCGGTGCCAGGAGGTGCCGATCAGCGAAGCAGTCGTCGGCAGCTCGGGCTTCCCGCGCGACAGGAACGAGCCTAAGCACAGGTTCGTCCTGTCGCACCCGTGGTTGTCGAGGGAGCATCCCGATCCGCATTCGGCGAAGCTGCAGCAACTGGTGCAGCAGCTGGGCCTCCTAGGCGCATCTGACTCCGACGCGGTCTTCATCGACTACATGGGGCTCCCCCAGTACAACCTGCAAGACCCAGAGTATCGGCGCTTGGAGCTGGAGGACAAGGTGCCCAAGCTTGGTGAGCACCCTGCTGTCCGCACAGTGGCGGAGGAGGCGTTGTTCCAGAAGGCCCTTAGTTCGATGGAGCTGCTATACAGCGTAGGCAACACGCCCGTCATTGTCCTGCCCATGAACGACGAGGTTGCTGCTAGTACAGAGTACTTCTCCCGTGGCTGGTGCTACTTCGAGTTCTCCCTCGCGTTCAGTTTCAATAACATAGTGAACGCTGAGTTCCACGCTCCTGTGAAGCAGATGCTCGAACGAGCTGTAACACTGAAAGTGAACACAGTGGATGGTTTCCGAGAGGGGTTCAGAGCGACCCACTTCACGAACAAGGGCGACAAGGCAGTGGTCTTCAACCTCTTCCAGCATACCTTGGACAAGGCAAGAAGGTGAAGCAGCGGTGACGTCGGCGTGGACTGCGGAAGGGGGAGGACGACGGAGGGCAAGGGCGGTGGACCAGCGCTTTGCGGCAAGGTGACGGATCACACTGCGCGACCTCTTGCCAAGACTGCCCGCGACGTGCCGCGTGCTGGTGCCGTTTCTGAAGTGATCCATTGTTTCAGCCGCTGTCGGATGCACAGTGGCTACCGTTGTCGCCGTCTGGAGCAGCACTGTGCACGGCTGGGAGGCATCATGGTATGCTACACCGTGCCATTGGTCATTTTTCCTCTCGGGTTTCTCCACGCTTCACGGAGGCCCAGGAGGCCCCCAGTATCGCCCTGAGACCGCGGACCCCCAAACGATGCGATCCAAAAAAAACCTCGTGGACTCGCAGGGCTGCGGCAAGACGGCTCCAGATGACACCGCGACAGCCCCGCGGCGCCCCAAGAGGCCCCCCAAGAGGCCCCCAGAGAGGGCCCCAAGCAGCAGCAGCCGTCTCACTTCCTTGGGAAGACGTGTGTGTTGTGCACATTTGGGTTTCGCCCATTCCGGCGGCCTGAGGCCCCGCCTTCCTTTGCTCTGTCTCCCAAATTAAAGCTGTGCGTAGCCCGCCTAGCTTTTAGCGGAAGAGGTTCGCTCTCGCCCCGCAGATCAAAAAAGTGTGTTTAGCACATTCGCCTCTTGGGCCTCCATGGCGTCCACGACGGCCCAAGAGGCCCCCTAGACGGCCTAGGAGGCCCACACGAGAGAGCTCCAGGACGGCCCAAGAAGGGCCCCAGACGGCCCAGGCGACCCCTAAGATGGTCCAAGAGAGCTCCAGGACAGGCCCAAGAGGGGTTCCCGGATGGGGGGCAAACCCAGCTTTTTATTTCGAGCCTTGGCCCCAAGAGGCCCCAAAGGGGCCCCCAAGAGGCCTCCAAGAGGCCCCAGGATGCCCCCAGGAAGCACCCAGGAGACCCCCAAGAGACCCCAAACGGGTCTCTGAGAGACTTCCCGAGCAATTTTCACATACATCTATGAGAGGCCTCTGGTCTTAGGCCCGTTCCTGGGCGCCGCCTGATCTGCGCAGGTTTTGTTGTTATGTGTGCATACATGTGTGTATGCCAGACAAAAGAAGGAGCACGTGGCCTGGCGAAGGGCCCACCCCTATGCAGCTGCGTATCGCGCGGGGCGCGTCTCTCTTTTTTTTTTTGTGTGTGTGTGTGTGTGTGTGTGTGTGTGTTTTGTCTCTCTCTCTCTCTCCTCAAATGCTGCGCGACGCGGGGTAGACCGGATAGAGGGTCGCTGCGGAGCTAGCGCGCGCAGGCACGCTGAGCTCCTTGTGGGGCGCGATCTGCGTGAAGAGGGTGGCCGCCGCGCGAGCGCGCCCACTGATGCCCTATGTGGAGCTCCGTTGTGGACCGCGATCGGCGTGTAGCGGCGCCGAAACGGGCGTGGGGACGCCACTCGAAATTACCCATGGGTGCCATAGATGGAGGTCCTTGCGGGGTACGATCCGCGTCAGGGGTGTGCCGAAATGGGCGTGAAGACGCCATGCGAACCATCTCTCTGGGGCCATAGGTGGAGCCCCCTTTGGGCCACGATCCCTGCCAGGGCGGTGGAGAACAGCTACCCGTACTTTCAATGAGTAGTAGTATGAGGAGGAGGAGGAGGAGGAGGAGGAGGAGGAGGAGGAGGAGGAGGAGGAGGAGGAGGAGGGAGGAGGGGGAGGAGGGAGGAGGGAGGAGGGAGGAGGGGAGGAGGGAGGGGGAGGAGGGAGGAGGGAGGAGGGGGAGGGAGGGAGGAGGGAGGAGGGAGGAGGAGGGAGAGAGGGGGAGGAGGGGGAGGAGGGAGGAGGGAGGAGGGAGGAGGAGGGGGGGGGGGGGGGGGAGGAGGGGGAGGGAGGAGGGAGGAGGGAGGAGGGAGGGAGGAGGGAGGAGGGAGGAGGGAGGAGGGAGGAGGGAGGGAGGGCGGAGGAGGGAAGCAGGGAGCAGGGAGGAGGGAGGAGGGAGGAGGGAGGAGGAGGAGGAGGGAGGAGGGGAGGAGGGAGGAGGAGGAGGGAGCAGGGAGCAGGGGAGGAGGGAGGAGGAGGAGGGAGGAGGGAGGAGGAGGGAGGAGGGAGGGAGGAGGGAGGAGGGAGGAGGGAGGAGGGAGGAGGGAGGAGGGAGGAGGGAGGAGGGAGGAGGAGGAGGAGGAGGAGGAGGGGAATGATGAGGGAGAGCAGAAACAAGAGCAAGAGCAGGAACATGAACATGGGGAAGGAGGAGGAGGAGGAGGATGACCAGTGTAAACCAATATTCATTAACGATGTTGGAATAAACCCTCCCTCCAAGCTCCTTCTTCGTAGGCCCCTACAACGGTTCATTTCCACAGGGAACTGCCTCGTTGGAAGAGAACCGTTTGAAGACCCTGAACCGTGCCAAAACATTATTATCCGGATACCATGGTGTTGCGTCTTGACGACCCTGAATCGTGCCAGAACGCCATTCCTGGGACTTCAACACCGCGAATCAACGTAATTGTTGACCTTCATAATTCTCGATCCTTCCAAACACACAATTTCTGGTACGCTGATCAGGGGAATCCGCGAAACTCTTGCAGATTTGAACAACGAATGTGCGCGGCGCTAAGGCGAGAGCCAAATTTTGAAAACTACCCGCCTTCAATCCGTTAAACTCTTGCACGTGTTGACAACGAATGTGCGCGGGGCTAAGAGCCACATTTTGAAAACGACCCGCCCTCAATCCGTGAAACTCTTGCACATGTTGAAAACGAATATTCGCGGCGCTAAGACGAGGGCCAGCCACATGTTTGAAACGACCCGCCCTCCATCTGTGAAACGATTGTCAATTTTCAAGCTTCAGGGTCATAGAGAAAGTCTAAGGCGAAACGCCCAGCCCGCCCTGGAAACTGAGGAAAGGGAATGGAGGAGGATGAGAAGGAGGAGGAGGAGGAGGAGGAGAGGCGGAGGAGGAGGAGGAGGAGGAGGAGGAGGAGGACGATGACGAGGGGAGGCCGAGGTGGTTGGAGACTCTGCAACGCCCACATGATGCGGACCTCCCAATGTCGCCGATCAGACGTGCGAAAGCGAGAGCCTGAAAACGCGGTGCAGCTGTGTCTAGAGCCTACGCGCGCGAAGCGCGCGTAGTTATATATATATATATATATATGTATGCATATACATATACGTATATATGTATACGCCCATAGATAAATACGTACATACATGCGTACACACATACATACATACATACATACATACATACATACATACGTACGTACGTACGTACGTACGTACATACATACATACATACATACATACATACATAATTACACATATATATATATACATACATAAATCAATACATGCATACATACATTCATACACATATATACATACATACATACATACATACATACATACATACATACATACATACATACATACATACATACATACATACATACATACATACATACATACATACATACATACATACATACATACACACACATACACACATACATACATGCATACATGCATACATGCATACATGCATACATGCATACATGCATACATGCATACATGCATACATGCATACATGCATACATGCATACATATATACATACATACATACATACATACATACATACATACATACATACATACATACATACATACATGCATGCATGCATGCATACACACACATACATACATACATATACACATACGTACGCGCACACATACATACATACATACATGCAGGCATGCATGCATGTATGCATGCATACACACATACATACATGCACACATACACGCATACAGACCGGCACACAGACATGCATGCATACATGCATACATGCATACATGCATACATGCATACATACATACATACATGCATGCATGCATACATGCATACATGCCTACATACATACATGCATGCATACATACACACATACAGACAGGCAGACAGGCATGCATGCATACATGCATGCATACATACATACATACAGACATGCATGCATGCATATATACATCCATTCATACATGCGTATGTCTATACATATGTATGCATCTATATATATATATATATATATATACATCCATTCATACATGCATGCATGCATACAGAGACAGACAGACAGACAGACAGACAGACAGACAGACAGACAGACAGACAGACAGACAGACAGACAGACAGACAGACAGACAGACAGACATCTAACGGGCCACCGGGTCCTGGGGCCCCGGCCCCGGGGGTGCCCAAGGCTGGGACCTCGACCGAACGGGTGTGGACTGAGCGGGGCCCGGGGCCCCGCCGGACCGCCGGAGGCCCTCCAGCACCGCCCTCCTCCTCCTCCCCCCCCTCCTCCTCCTCCTCCTCCTCCTCCTCCTCCTCTCCTCCTCCTCCTCCTTCCTCCCCTCTCTCCTCCTCCTCCTACTCCTCCTCCTCTCCCCTCCTCCTCCTCCCCCTCCTCTCCTCCCCCTTCCTCCTCCTCCTCCCCTCCTCCCTCCTCCTCCCCCCCTCCTCCTCCTCCTCCTCCTCTCCTCCTCCTCCCCCCTCCTCCCCTCCTCTCCCCCTCCTCTCCTCCTCCCTCCTCCCTCCTCCTCCTCCTCCTCCTCCTCCTCCCCTCCCCCTCTCCGCCTCCTCCTCTGCCTTCCTCCTCCTCCTCCTCCTCCTCCCCTCCTCCTCCTCCTCCTCCTCCTCCTCCTCCTCCCTCATCCTCCTCCTTTTTCACCCAGATGACCTGCCAACCCACTTGGCCCCCTCACTCTTATCCGCAAATGCGGGGTTCTACGTACCGTTATATTTTGATAAGGAATGAGGATATGGCCCATAGAGCTCCAGGGGCTCCGAAGGCTCCGAGGGCTCATAGGGCTTTGAGAGCTCAGAGGGCTCAGAGGGGCCAGAGAGCTCATCGGGCTCATAGGGATCATAGGTCTCATAGGGCTCAGAGGGCTCCGGGGGCTCCGAGGACTCCGAGGGTTCCGAGGGCTCCGACGGCTCAGAGGGCTCGGAGTGTTCAGAGGGCTCAGAGGGGCCAGAGGGCTCAGAGAGCTCATATGGCTCATATGGGGCTCCGAGGGCTCCCAGGGCTAAGATGGAGCCGGGGGCTCCAAGAGTTCCGAGGGCTCATAGGGTTATAAGGCTCATGGGGCCCATAGGCTCATATGGCTTCGAGGGTTCCGAGGGCTCCGAGGGTTCCGAAGGCTCCGAGGGCTCAGAGGGCTCAGAGGGTTCAGAGGGTTTATGGAGGCCAGATGGCTCGCAGGGCTCGTAGGGCTTCGACGGCTC